TCAATAATATTTAATATTAACTAAACAAATATCATAAAATTATTATGAAGGGGGGTAGGGGAGTAGATAATCTGCAATTTTGCGTAAAATATTAAACTGTTTGCCCTATTATAAAATTTATGATGTCCCATTATACAAAAATTATTAAAAAAATATATATTTTTTTTTGTGTATAGTTAAAATATAAAAGTTTTCAAACTATTAAAATTTTGTCTAACCATATCTTTTATTATACTTATACTCCAATGAGTATTAACAAATAGTTGTGAGAGAGAAATACAATAACTTAAAGATATAAAATAAACACTATGTTTTTGTTGTGTATAAATTTAAATTTGATATTAATATTAATATATATGATCATGAGCCCCCTTATCAAGACCTGGATCTTAAAAGTAAATAATTGTGGATTAAAAAATTTATGATCTTGTTTAAATTACAAACTTTAAAATATAAGTAGTATACTTGGTAGGAGATGGTGTATAGATTTTATTGATTAAATTTAGTGTACAATATGCGCCCGGGACAAAATGAAAGAAACTGGCTTTGTCCGAAATTCCATTCTTACATAGTTCCCACCCGCGCTAAATCATAACAAAATGTTATTGTTATCAGAAATTGGGAGGTACCCATTTTAAGACATACCCCTGATTTTAAAAAAATTTATCTGGATTTGAAATATTTTAGGTTCTGCCTGGACTTGTAAAATTTAATCATTCTAATTTTGTAAATGATTTCAAAAAAGGAAATATGAGAAGCTTATGATTATTAAATTTTTAGAGCTAGATAATCAAGCATAACGTCGTAATTTGCTGATTTTTAGATTTTTTCTTATATTCTACTAAAAAAAAGAGACAAATTTTAGGGCAATTTATATTAAATAGAGTAGGTCGGGAAAATGCTTTTTCCTACACGTCAAGTTCGATCCTTTGTATTTTGCAGGTCTCTAGCAGGGCTTTAATTTTGATTTGAATTTACTAATTTTGATTGAGGTAACATCTTCACCGGCTTAGCGGATGGTGCAGAAGTCCTTGGGGTTGGAAGCAACAGTCGTGCGGATTATGGCTAATACATATTAAACGATGAATGTTACTGCTTATTGCATATTAATAAAATTTGGGTATTTTTTAGCAAATTGTTATATGCTTACAGACGTCATATCTCATTGTTTTCGTTGCTCAAAAGTTTTATATTATGATATGTTTGGGTATTTTTTAGCAAATTGTTATATGCTTACAGACGTCATATCTCATTGTTTTCGTTGCTCAAAAGTTTTATATTATGATATGTTGACAATTTAATCGATTCTTAGAAAATAGGCCCAATCCATGTTCGAAATATATTGCGATTTTTTTACATTAAAAAAATTTTCGCGCTGAAATCACAAATATTTTTCAAAAAAAATATCCAATTATTTTGATCTTTAAAGAAATTTTGGATTTTTTTTAAAAAACTTTTTATTACCCATCAAATATGATGTTTATTTAATATTTAAATACACGTATTTATGAAGAGTTTCACTAAGATAATTTAATGAAATAATTATTGGAATAAAAAGTGAGAAAATATTTTACCGCGAAACAATTTTATGTTTTCTTCATCTTTTTTTTAAACTTTTATTTAGGGAATTAGGATTAAATTTCATAGATTATATCCTTAAATTTATGTTACATAGTGGAAAAAAGTAGTTCACTATTATAATGTGTTATGCGTATCAAAGATATTTGCCGCATTCGTGTATCTATAAATATGAGATAATTTAATATAAAGATTATTAAGTTTTATATATGTAAAAAATATACTATTTAATACAACACCACAATAAATCGAGATTATTTAAATAAAACGATTGATTTTCTTAAATAAATTAAAATTAATCATTCTTGCCATATTTTAGTTTTTGGATATCTTTGAAAACTAATTTACCAGATATTGAAAATGTAAAATAAATTGGTTATCGATCGGCGTTTTCTTTGAAAAGTGAACTTTAAAAAAAAAATTAAACTTATGGATAAGGCTAGCAATATTGTTCCTTTCGCGATAAGTAGCTTAAATTGTCAAATAGGAAATAACCAATTGACGCCAAGTATACACAAAGAAAAAAAAATCCCCCGGTTTTGACTTTTTAAAATTCTAATATAATTGATAATAAATCTCTTGTATTTTTCTGTATGAGAAAATTGTCACGATCACAATTTGTCTCATTCTTACTACTTATAATTTCTTATAAAATTTTATAAATCATAATTATTTTTTTTTGTAAACAAATTTATCGTAGTCCTTAGAAATATTAATATAACAAAGAACGAAAAGTACATATATATATTTAAAAAATTACGATTATGTTCTTTGAATTTTAAAGAAAGACACTTGTAAATTATTTTAATCTATGTATGTATGTAAATTTAAATAATATGTATAAAATAATACTATATTATCATTTTCAATTTCAACTCTCATTTTGTAAATTTTGTCCCATATATCTTAAAATTGAAATATTTTGTCATCTTGTACTTTTATAATTTAATTATTTAAAAAAAAACGAATAATTTCTCATTTTAATGCCTAATTCTGTGAAATTTATGTGACATATTTTATTCAAAGGGATACAATTTTTGATATGTATTTTAGAAACACTTAATATAATTGTTTCTTTTATATTATATTGGTTTTATTTTAGTATAATAATAATCTTAATAATTGTATATTTGTTTTGAGATCATTATAATTTTCTTTATATGTAATTAATTATCACCCCCACGAGGTATTCCTCATAATTTTTATTTAGTTTTTAAAAATTTATTACAATATATTAAATTTAAGATGATTATGCTGGGTATTATTTATGAACCTTATAGAAGAAATACTCATTTTTAGACCCTGCTCGGATTTAAATCTTATTTTATTTCAGGTAACCTTTAAATTAAAAAACGATAATTTAACGGCCTGGGGTTTAATGGTTTTAAAAGGAAAATCGGAAATATGAGAAGGGAATGATGCTTAAATATCTATCACCCGATTTTTTTAACGGTTAATTGATGATACAAACTCGAACTGGGGGCGGAATTTTTTTTACTCCCGAACCGTGTCGTGTTTGTAGGAACAGGGCAAATCGGGCTTATTGCACTCGCACTAAATGTTATGTATTATATAGTTTTCTGAATTGTAATATTTATGATAGATTAGGGAAAAAAAAGGCTAACACAATGTATATATGGTTTATTCTCAAAATATACTAAAACTTGTGTGTTATAATAAAAAAAAATCCTCAATTTTTATGATTACCGAATCGAATTGATTTAGCATGATAAATAAAACGTATTTTAATGGGAGGGAAAGGGGAAAGAAATTCGAAATGAGTTTAATTATCTCTTATTTCTTCCCTCAAATATATAAACTATATTTTTTTAGTGAACATGTGTGTTTTATTTTTATGGTCCAAAGCTGAAAAATAAATATATCTTACTTTTGTAAACGCGAGAATGCATTAAGAACCTTTCATTACTCTCGCGGGATCTATATGAGCTCAACCTTAAGCGTTTTAAAATTAATATTACTTGATGATATGGTTGGTTAATAAGTCATTTTCATTTGTGAGTGATTTAGGTTTGTCGAACCTAACAAAAGCACTTGCGTAAAATTTTTTGAAAATGTTTTTAGCTTAATCAAATTTTTTTCTACATTTTTATTCTATCCTCATGATTTCGAAGCGCGTAATGTTAAAAGATGGCTAGCCAAAAAGCGAGCATTTCAAAATATCATCTCCAAAAAATTTGGAATATTTTAAGCCTTTTGCGCATTAAAATTTTATGGTCTGCTTAGTAGTTATATTAATTTTCAAAGAATTCCCATATTTTTTTTAAAGTATTAGATAGGTATATACTATATAATATATTTTAGATATATTTTTTTATGATTACCAAAGGCTCAATTTCTCTAATGTTCAAACGCGAAAACGCTATAGTATGGCCCGAGCCTAAGGACTCGTTTATAGCAAGCGCATATCACTCAAGCGATGCGATACGCATCGTTTGCAAAAGCAAGCAAATAATAGGCAATAATGACTGCGCGATACCATAAAATGAATTAAATCGCTATAAATTATAACTTTAACCTATTTGCTTGCTCTAGGAAAATACACGCTCATTATAAACGAGATCTAAAATGCAATAGCCATAAGTTAATTGCCTTTTTTAGCTTTGGTTAATGGCAACGGCCTCTCGGTAATGTTGTTAAAAAGCCCTATACAGATCGATTTTTAAAAAACGGCCCGATTAAGATTATAATTAAAATAACATTATTGTACATCGCTGGCAGAAATGCTTGGATATCAATTTGCCAAATTTCAATGCTTATATAATATTATTTTAGCTAAAATCTTAATCGTTTTGAAAAATCGGGCTTTTTAACAATACTACATCTCAGTACATTATCGCTAATGCAAAATTTATAAGAAAAGAAAATTGATAATACGATACAAAAGTTGATTGTTCTCATCTCATAACTTAACCCATAAAAGGTGTGCATTTTTTATTTTCATAACTTTTGATTGAATTTTTAAATCATGGAATTTAATAATTACGATTACAACAAATGTAAATTAAAGAGGCTTTTAAACTATATAAAAAAATTGATAACAAAATGTCACATAAAATTTACTCTTTTTTTTCGGTATTTAATTTTTAAAAGTTTAAAAATAAAATTTAAAAAAAATAAAAATAATTAATTCATAATTATTTTTGAATAAAAAAAGTAGGTGAAAAATATTTTTTCCTTCATTTCAAATTATAATTATAGCATTAATAAAGTTTAAATACCGAAAAAAAATCATTATAATAATCTTCATTTTAGTTTCTCCATTCCCTCCTCTCCTCCCATCCCACTTTTTCTGATAATTATACGTTTTTTTATAACGGTGTGTGTTTGGCGTGTTAGCATTTATTTCCTTTTTTTTTAAAAAAAAATTATTATAAATATTGTCTTCTTTTTACATTGTGCAGGTCAATCCTTCAAAAGATTTTTGGGACAGAAAAATGACACCTTCCCAGAACCGTTCAAAATTTTGCTCGAAGAAAATGGCTTTTTCTATGTCGGAGGAAGGTATATACATGTTTTAGATTATTATCATAAATATTCGTTTTTTTAACAAACAAAATTAAAAATCTGAGATTTTTTTGAGAATGCTCAAATCAGATTTTTTTTACCTAAAATTCCAAGTTTTTTTTTGTAAAAACAATTTTTTTATGCAAAAAACAACTTTTTTGATGAAGACGATTCATTCATAAGAATGCATTTTAAAGCGTTGTTGAATGCAATTCAGTCGGAGATCACATGGTACTCCATTTTGGTAATCTATATAGGTTCCAGAATATTTTAAATTATTTGAATTTTGTCTGCTAAATACATATTTTCTTGTGAAATAACCTTGGAATAATTATGTGGTAGGATATTATTTTACTTTGCTTACATTAAATTTATATATATATATGATATGTTATGCTTAGTCAAAATGGCATCCTCAGCTGTTTTTCATTGATGTACACTTTTAATTAATTCATCGTTATTCTAGGTATTATTATAATCACAATAGATGGGAATCACAAAAAAATTAAAAAATCCTCAATTTTATGATTTATCATCTTCTGCTTTTTATATGAATTATAATTTACCAAAATTTAATTGCGAATTCATTCATTCATGTGTTAAAATAATTTAAGAAAATTACTCGCCTTAGTAAGAGATAGACATAAAACCAGTCAAGTCAAAAAATAATTTGTAATGCGTTTAAAAATAGGTGTTTCTTTCTTGGAAAAAAAAACAATTATTACACCTTTTTACACTTTTTATTTTATATTTCAAGGTAAAAATGGGGTATTTTGTAAACCAAAAAATATATAACTTACTATATAATATGTAAAAAATTGTTTAACTTGCCCTAAATATAAATTTATTTATATAAAGGCAAAGGTATATATTATATATAATTTCTTTTCTTTAAAAAAGAGGAGCCAATCATTCTTATAAATTTACCTTCATTTTTTTGTATTCATTTCATGGATGATAGCTATGATGTTTTATTGTAAATATATGAATTAATTTACTAATAATTTCGTAGTAGTGTCGTGTTCAACTTTAATTAAAAAAAACGAAAGTTGAAAAATGTTATTTTTCTCTCTCTTTAAACTTTTTAACTCGTCTGTTTTGTTGCGAATCTATATCTATTCTTCTAACCGCACACTTTTAAGAAAATCGTATTTATTTTGGTTACATGTAAGATCAGAATTATCACGTTCAAAAATTAAAGATTTTTGATCTCTGAAGATCATATTTTTTTATGAGAATGCCCAAGCAGAGTTTTTGGTCATCCCGCGAAAATAAATCTGCAAATGCCCATTCGAAGATCAAGTCCTATCCGCTCTTAAAAAAATCAGATAATTTTTTCCTTCAAAGATCCGAATTTTTAATTTTTATTTAATTTGACTGTTATGTATCCGATATTTCAGCGAAGACGGAAATATTCTAAGCTCTGAAGGGTAATAAAAAAAAATTGTTATTTTTCGCGAAAATAAGAATTTATAAAAATAATTAAAGAAAACAAAATAATTATATATTTTGTCGTCGAGGTTAGTCAGGCCCAAAATAAATTTTTTTTCTCGTGGATTTAAATTTAGGGAGTTTAAGATTTCCTGTAAAGGGTTTGATATTTATGGCCTATAAAACGAAGAGACAGACCCTTTGGACCAATCTGGCCAAGAGAAACAAGGGAGAACCTTCTTTCTGCCTTTTTTCCCCCGTTGAATCTTAAGCGTATCTGTAAAGCATTACATTTTTATTATAGCAAATTGTATCGAAATTTCGTATTGATTTGAAATTATTATAATGGATACAAACAATAATAATCTGAAGATGATATAGACAAATACATTTAAATATGGACGATTTATGTATACAATACACCTGGAGAGATAATGCATTTAATATTATGACAATATATTTATTTTTTTAAAAAAACTTAAAATTTTAATAAATAAATCTATAATCACTTAAATCATTTTAAATACTTCTTTTTTTAAAAAAAAAATAAAATATTTTCCTTATTTTATACCAACAATTTTAATCTATCTCGAAAAAATTAATTTTAAGGTATAATCTTTGACGATTATATGGTGACCAAAATATGCCAAGTATATAATATTTATATTATTAAATTAAATTAAAATAATCAGAGTTTTAAATGCTCTTCAAATAAAAAAATCTTCAAGGATTTGATTTTGATCTTTGAAAGATTTATTTTTGAAATTTTACCTAAAATTTTTTTTAAAGTAAATCCTTTCTGATTTTTATGCGTATTAAAAAAAAAATTTTTAAATTAAATTAGTTTTCACAAAATATGAATTTTAATGGGGATGGAAGATGTTTTTCGATTTTTAAAAATCGGATCTGATTGGCCCTTTTATTATTTTTAAGAGGTTAATAACCGACATATCAAAATGAAATCATTTGGGACCGCTACAGGTCTAGTTTCCATTTTAAAATGGGGTTCGGTTCAGGCATGCCTTACCGAAGAGGGTTCGGTTGAATTCATACTAGGCTCCTCATAATAAATAGAAATTAATTGTAAATTATACCCAATCAATTAATCAAATGAAATATGCTTTATTTTGTAAAAATATTGTGTAAAAGAAGATTAGAATCGCTATTTTTTTTCATTGGTCAAAATAAAATTTGAAGTTAGTAAAAACAAACAAAAATTATTGGATGTAATCTAATATTTTTTTTTGCCAGAAAATCAACATAACAGAGAAAAGATTGGACTAGCCCCGGGTTTATAAACCGAAATATTTTTGAGTACAGGTTTATATAAAATAGCTTGAACCCGAATTCGGCCAACTACCTTTTTTATCCAGATTCCTAACTGCTATTTTTTATAAAAATTATAGTGGGCACAAATTGAGCGTTTTAAACGAAAATAATGCATTTCAAATCCTCGTGCAAATTTGTCAAATTACTGTTTGGCGCTAGATATCATTTTAAAAAAAAACGCAAAATGGCTTCCTTCATTACTTTTTTCTTATAATTCAAGGTAGTGTTGTTAAACGACGCGACTAACTCAACATTTAGCCAGAAAAATATTGCCTAAGCCTCTAGACTTTGCTAATAGATGTCAAAACCTTTATGCCCGTCTAATAATTATTCTTTTCTGGGTAAGGTATTGATTGAGTTAACCGTTTTTAAAAATAGTCTCAAATGCCGTTTAACAAGACTAATTCATGGCTAACTTTTTTTTTGTTCCAAATAGCATAATTTTAAAAAATAAAATTATAAATCCCGCCTTAATTTAGATAAGGGATGCTTTACATTTTTTTCTAAATTAAGAAAGTACGGTAACGCAAAAGCCTAATTTGGGCTCACTATTATGAATTTTTTTAAAATTATAATTGAATATATGTTATGATGTTATCATATAAATAGGATATATATATATATATATCAGAGACTTGCAGAAGTACTATTTGCACAGCCTGTCCCAGATTTTTTAAAAATTAATATATTTATTTTTAATTTTTATAGCTAATAATGGCGATTTAAAATATACGGCCCGGCCCCTATTTAAAAAAAATTAGTTTTAGGCCCGGCCCGAGTATTTAATTAAAATTGGCCCGGCCTGTGTACCCAAGCTTAGGGTGAGGCCTGCAGGTCTCTGATATATATAATTTTTCATGTTCATCTGGATTTATCACATAGCTCAAATGACAACCTCCCACCCCCAATATATTAATAAAAATTGAACAATATTACAAATTTAATTTTTTTTAAAAAAATACAATCCTTGTTCTTTGTATTAATCGATGTTAGGAATTTACCTTTTTAACGGCAACTTTTGAATCTCGAAAAACTTGCCTTTAAATTTAAAATAAAAAATCATATTAAAAATAAAATCATTGGTGTTATTTCCAATATCCTTTTTTAATTTTTATATACTATGATTAACTTTACATAACATATAAATTACTTTGATTTTTTTATTTCCGAAATGCGTATCGATTTTCTTAGAATCATCCCCTATTAAAAGACCATACATTTCCATCTGGCTATTATTATTTTTTTTAATTTCCCGCAGGGATATAACTTAAGAAAGAAGAAATAATAATTTCGACCAATCATCCATAAAATTACTCGAGAAAAGTTAGTTTTCGTTGGTCATTTTTTTTATAAACCTACCCGAGTTCAACCGAATCCACCCATTTTGTAGAATATAATCGTAGAAGCTGGTCTTTTAGTTTGACCCCTATAGTTTACCATCTTTGAAAAAATAAAATAATTTATTCAACTTTATTATGTATACCATTATTTATAGGAATAGACTTTACAATTTGAGTGTGTCAGCTGATGATGGATCGATTCTGGAGCATAAGGTAAATAAAATATAATAAAATATTTAAAACTTAAAGCATATTATACCGACATATTTTATTTTTTTTAAAAAAAAATATCCGAGAATAAAGGAGTATTTATTGCTGAATTATTAATAAGGGAACGATTCAAACTTCCAAATATTATATCAACCCATTATAGTTCAAAAATAAAAATTAATTATAAAAGAATCCATAAAAGGCCTCAAATTTTTCGATAATATAAAGATTTTTAAATTATACCTAATTAGCCTAATAATCGTTTGATTGGTTATTAGGAAACTCTTTCGTTAGAGTTAGCATCATATGAGTTGATACCTAAAAATTTTGATCTATTGAAAAAAAAGAAGTTTATATTTGATCTTGGATGGGTTGGAATGAACCAAAAGAGATATTCTCATTTTTTTAAATATGATCACCTGAAGTCTCTTTTGACAAACTTCGAAAATAAATACTCGTCCCAACTCTGTAACCTGTTCACATTCTCGTGAACCCTCATTTAACAAATTGGAAAGTCAAGAAATGAATTATTTTACTAATACAAAATTCACCTTTATAAAAAAAAGAAACTTTTTGATTTTAATTAATTTACAATTGATTAAAAGGTAAATTTCCATTAAATTTTCTTACCTTCGTTAGATAAAAAAAACGTGATTATATTTGTTTTTCATTATTGCGAAATCATATCGCTTGTTTCTGTTTGTTGTACACTGTTTTATATTAATTATCTTTTTATTTTTTTTGAAAAAAAATATTCGATTCATTAAATTACAACAGAACTCTACTTGGGCACATGCTTAGATTCAATATAAATTTATTTTTTTTATTAACTAAAGAAAAAATTTCTGTTCTTATAAACTATCTATTTTTTTTTCAAACTTTTAAGCAGGCATGGAATTCCATTTTTTTAAATATTTTTGAATTAAAATATTTTACCCATCATTTTATAACAAGGGAGCAATATCATGAAGAATAAAAGAAAATTTTATTTATTTTATAAAGAAAAATGAGAAGAATATCACAATTTTCTCAAAAAAGGAACGCGAATTTGATTTTTAAACATGTGACCAGGGTAGAGTTTGAAATGTTAAAGTTCATCTTTTGTAGTTGATTTTTTTAAAAACTAATAAAAAATACGTGATTTATAGAGAGAGGAAAAAATATCCCTAACTTTTAAGACTTTCGATTTTAAACGATAAAAATTAAAAAATAAGTCTTTTTTTTTGTTTGTGTTTAAGGTGTTTTGTAATTTATTCGATTATTATTAATTTAAAATGTGCGAAACTTTAATTACAATAAAAATTGAAATTCGAAACGTCATTTTAACGGTATATATTTTTTTTAATATTAACTTTCGGGGGCGTATTGACCTTTTAGCAACTATTATTTATTTATATCGCATTATACACTAATATTCGTAATCACGATTGATTAAGTGTTGAGAGCGGGGTCCCAGAGACCTACTGTTGAGAGCGGGGTCCCAGAGACCTACCCACTCCGATGCCTAAAAAATTTTTAAAACTCGGACCCATCCACGTCAACTCACTCAGGGGGAAAAAATATATCATAATATAAATGGTTTTTAAAAACTGTGATATGGCGGAAAATTTTGCCCTTTTATTTTAGAATTCACTCACATCCAGGCCCCGATTGATAAAAATTTGTTCTTTCAAATAACGATTTTAAGACACCCTTCTTCACCTCACTTTTTAATTCTTCTACCTTATCCGGAATTTTTCAGACATCGCCTGCAGTAGTCTTAAGAGAAACAAATTTTCTCGGAAGTGGTTAAAGGGCCTGCACGTCTATGCCTGCCGCCTATCCTATTTTCCTATTTCCCAACGAGGAATAATTCTTATAGCTTCACAACAATCCTTATTTAAAAACTTATTAAAATCCAATTTATATGTTGGCGAATTCTTAGTTATTACTGACCTTTCGGAAAATTATACATTTGTAGTGCAGGACCATGCAGCTCTAGCTTAATTTATTCTTGAGATATTTGAAAATTAATGAAATGCATTTTGTCAAAAATGTACCATTTTTCTATTCTTCAAATGCCCATATTTAGCGACTAAGTGGTGTAAGGAAATACTTTTTTTTAGTAATAGTATATACTACAAATACACAAAATTAAAAAAAAAATCTGAAGGGGGTTGTGTTGATTTAATATGGAATTCACCATATATATTTTTTTTATCATTCATAATAAACGACCAAAATGAGGCAGATATAAAATGAATTTTAAAACAAAATTGAATTTAATCCTTGAGGATGCAAGCGAATTTGTTTTTTTTTTAAATTTTTATGACCATGTATAAATATATATATATTAGTTTGTTTATCGAAAATATATTTTAATGTGTCCTCTAAGTAATCAGGAAAATTATATCACAGATGGTTATCTCACCTTGTATAACCAAAAAAAAGGAATGTGTAAATAAGAGATTCACAAGTCCGGAATGCGGTCCAGAGCTGGCCATAAAATTCGTAACCGGGTCTAAAAATTTTACGAAGCCCGAATCCGACAGATTTTTAATATCTAATCATTTAACATTCATTTACTGATCATATTTTCAATTCCGTTTCCCTTTCTGAAAGAATGTACAAAATCTATAGCCAAAAATTTATTTAAAATATCAATTATCATTAAAATTTTACGGGGTGAGTAAAAAAATAATAATTACAGGCTAGTTCGGGCCACTTGGCCGATCTCGAAACTGATGATTTATATATATACACGATTAGATTAAGTGTCAATGCAAAGGAGTTAGTTGTAGGCTATTTTGTAGTTTGCACGTCGATTAAATGATATTAAGGTGCAATCATATAATGATAACTCTTAATTAATGAATCGTCAATCTAATAGTATGAATAAAAAATATTTTATATTTTTTTTATACATTTGTATTTGCAATTTAAGACCTAAAAAATGTAATCTTGCTAAAAAACAATTTTTTGAGAAAGTATACAAATACAAACCCCTCAACTAACAGGATTATTTTTTTTAGACCTTAAATTACAAATATTAATCTAGAAAATATTAATTGGGAACTTAAAGACAATTTTATTAGAAATTATGCAATATAGATATATTGAAAATATACAAATATGATCTAATTATTAGTATAATGAAGGTACTAAATATATACTTCACTAACATATGTAAAAATACTAGAACATCTCAAAATAACCTTTCATTAAAATTAATGTAAATTTCTTATTCACACCTCATATAAGACAAGTTGATTTGACATTCATAATAAAATAAAAAGCAAAATTCTGATTTACCCATCTTCAAATAAAGGAGATATGTATTATTTTCCGTCATTCTTGACGGGTTATCAGCTAGTATTATTATAAAAGATTATAAATTACCCTTTTTATATCTAAAAACTATCCTATAAGACCACTATGAAAAAATGATAGATATCAGGGCTGCCAGATGCTTCCGTTTAGTCAGGCCATCCGATTTGAGACATTTTTATATTGTTTAATACAAAACAGCTAAAATGGACTTTGACCGAGATATGATGTAAAAAAAATTTCGTTTAATAATTCCTGTTTTATTTAAACTGTAACTCTGTGACTTATTACCAATTAACCACTCACATTATCCGAACACAGAGCTCCCGTTAGTCAGCATTGCTGTTCACTCCCCATTGTGTGAAAGTTGGAGATAAATTAAGGAGCAAAGAGAAAGAAGAAATAAAAAAAATATAACAAGCTTTTATACTTTACGACTTGAAGGTCATAGATTTTCAACACACTTGCATTTTAGCCACACTGGTCTCCGAATGTCAACATCGGTATTTATAAAAATTTTACCTTTTAAAATATTATGCCAGGAACATTTCATATATTCCTTCTTTCCCAGCAATGTTAAGGGAAATGAAGCAATAAGACCTAGCTCATGTTGATGTAGCAATATCTAATAAAAATTGCCTTTGTTCGCTCAATAAAAAAATCATTTATTTTTTTAAACCTTTTTATTTGTAATTTATGATCTAAAAAATTTATTTTTTGTTAGATGAGAGCTTTGCATACCTTATTATCGAAGGCATACATACTTTGTCGATTATGGGAAAAAATAAAAGAGTAAAAAGTGACTTAAAATATTTTATTTTGAAAATATTAATTCACATAAAACAATTAAAGAATAGTGACGATGTGAAAAGAAACTTATTAAAAATGATTAAATATATCAGAGATCTGCAGATGAACTGCTCGATCCGGGTTTTATATTTTCACGCCTGCCCCAAAAAAAAAATTCGGCCTGGCCTTTATTTTTTTAAAATATATAACATGTATGTTTAATTTTTATAGCTAATATTGGCGATTTATTGGTTTTAAAATATACAGCCCAGCCAGGGTAATTTTTTTTTTAAAATTTCAGGCTCGGCCCGGGTTTAGTGCTAGGTCTGCTGGTTTCTGAAATATTAACTCATAAAATCCTTAAACCTTTAAGAGTCAATGGTAGGTTAGCTTGGTGTTGATTAATAGGACAAAAAATTTAATTATTATTCAGCCAAATGTTACTAAGAATATACTATAAATTAAAGGCCCATTTTTCTTTAAATATGATATCTATAAATTTTATCAAAATTTAATTGAGTTAGACTAATATATATAATCAATTTTTAAATGTAATTATAATTCAAGCAAGTGCAAACGCAAAGCGGGTCTTTCGATACTGGTAGATGGCAAAAAAACACTAGGCTATCTATACAGTCTTGAATTTTAATACTTTAAGATGATGATACGAAAACGATCATGTTTTGATTATGGAAATTATATACATTAGATAAATATTACTCTTCTTCTTTTTTATTACCTATTTTATAAATAAATATAATATTTAAAAAAGAAAATGAAGTTACATTAAAGGTAAAAAAAAATACCTAAAGGGTTTAAACTTTGCTTAATATTTTGCCTGTCATAATTATATTATTTTTTTTTGGTATCCCGCCTAAAATTTATGTGTTTTTCATCATGCATAAATATAAAAAGAAACATTTTTTTTAATTACCTTTAGTTTATTTAATAAAATAATTTTATAATAAAGGTGATATACATTTACAATTATATTGAGCCAATATATTTTTCTAATAATTCTAAAAAAAAATAATCGCAACTTTCTATATTATAAATAATGAATAATTTATGACTTTTTAAATAATGGCTAATCTAAAATTATGCAAATCTTGATATGAACACCCCCCCCCCCCCTTTCTTTCGCATAATTTATGCATAAAATTTTGTTAAAGCTCACTCTTTCATGGAAAAAAAGACGAATTTAAAATGATAGACTAACATATCCCAAATTTATTCATTTTAAAAGTAGATTGACCCTCCCAACTATCCATTTTCTAATCATTCAAATATAGGGTATTTCTATCTATCAGGGATCTTTTTTTTCCGATTACCCCTTTTATTCCTTTATCATTTATATTCTTTGTAATTGAACAGATTTAAATAAAAATATTACAACTGGAAGATCTTTTAAAAAAAAAATTAGAAAGAAAATTTTTTATTGCACAAAAATTGCAAAAAGAAAAAGAATTTGTAAAAAATTCTTTTAAGAATACATATTTTGAAGAGCATTACAAACCCTGGTAATAAATAAAGGTGAAATGGGTAAAATAAATTAATATATACACCTAATATAAACAAGAACATCATAATGGGTAGAGGGGAGGTAGCATGCTATGCCGAGAAAATTTACCTTTCTATTTATCATATTTATAAATATTATTTTAAAAAAATACGTTCTCACTATGAAGTATTGGAATAGTTTATATATTTTTTAAAGTAAACTGATTAAATGAGTTAACAAATTATTATGTTAACCGAAATATCGACAACAACAAAAAAAGATACTTTAAAAATTAAAGAAACTTTTATTATTAATGAAATTACTCCATAGTAAGAACATATTTTACTGATATAATTTGAAAATTTTTTAAGATAAATTTATATTAATACGCATACATACAATAAATTAGCATATAATTTGGGACGTGCCTAATGACAAAGTCGAAGACTGCGGTAAATACTATTCGATTAAAGATTGCCAAAATTACATCATGTTAATGGCCAAGTTGTCAGCCGATAAATTTATCGTCTGTGGAACTTACGCCTACGAACCAAAGTGCAGGAAATATCTATTAACAAACGTGAGTTATTGTTTTTTTATTGAACTTTCCAGGGACCTGGAACTGTACCTTCAGGAAAAACTGAACTTTAAGTATATTCACGAGAACGAGGAACAGTGATTCTAGGAACGGGGTAGGAACGCAAGGAAGCCAATGTTTCTGGTCTCTGGTTTTTTTCTATAGTCAATTTCGTAACCTGAGAATTAGATTATTCCATTTCCACTTTTTTAATTTTACAGGAGAGCAATTTTAAAAACTAAATTTCTATTGTTTTCAATAAGATGGTTTAACCTATCCGGCTATGTAAGAGAAAGAAGTCATTTTTAACAAAATATGGATTTATGAAATAACCTAATTCTCGGGCGAATGTTATATGATGTATACAATGTCACCTTATAAAGTGTATACTAGAGGTCTGCATTGGGCGGGTTTTTGGATAATATGCCCGCCCACTCAATGTTTAAAAAATGTTTTAACCCGCCCGCCCAGCCCGCTCATAGTTTTCAAAAAAATATACCCGCCCGCCCGCCCATTAGTCTAAAATTTCTTGCCCGCCCGCCCATTAGTCAGAAATTTTTTACCCGCCCGCCCATTATTTATAAATTTTTTTTTACCCAAGTCAGCTATTTTAAGCATCTAATGAAAATAGTTTCAACATTACATCTCTATAAGTTTTATAATTTAGGAAATTACTATATTAAGCTTAAAAAATATTCAATTTAAATTATGGATAAGTTATTTTATCAAATAAAATATTTATAAAATATAAATATAAAATAAATATTATAAGTAATTATAATGCAAAAATAATAATGAATCCACATTTTCGGGATTTAAACACGTTCTTCTTTGTTCTAAAAACCTTCCGGCAATGCTAAATCCTCTTTCAGAAGTAGCACTAGTTGCAGGAATTGCTAATATTTTTTTTGCTATTCTTGATAGCTTTGGCAAATTTTTTTCTTGTCGTTTCCACCAAAGTAGGACATCCTTTTGAAGTATATCCTCTTCCTCAATTGAAATCTTTAAAAAGTGAACCAATAATAATAAATTTATAAAAGTAATTTAAATTTATATTAATTGTAATATATGCATCTTAAAATTATGCTAAATTATACTTATCAAAAATTGTTACTTTAAGATTTAAATATTTTGTTATGTCATTATGTACGGTACTATTCTCAGTAACAACCTCACCCTCCCATCTGTTGGGGTTTAATTTTGATGTGGATGCTTATTTCAAATATTACATTTAATAAGTAGCTAAACGAATTTATAATTTATTAATACCTTTTAATTGGATTCTCTTTGCTTTTGGGGAAATAAGTAAAATCAAATTTTTATCTACGTCGATGTTACATTCTTCTATGCAAATCAAATCTAAGAAGTTTTCAATATGTTTTTTTATTTCATTAATTTCTTCCGACGACAACATCCTCATTTGTCGGAACTTTGGTATTAAAAATGTTGAAACTTTATGGAGCATATGAATTTTAAATTTTTCAATTATAAAATTTTTAGCTCTTTTCTTTATTATATCTATTTCTTTTTCGCATTTTGTTTTTCTCTCCATTATATTCATATTTATTTCATTCTCATGTAGAAGATTATACCTATTTTTATAAATAAAGAAAAAATGGGTATAAATCCTAAAATATTAATTTTCATACCATATAAGAACGTTCTGTAGTGTAGGCCTGCAATCACCCTCAAGAGCATTAGTTGCATCTTTATATGGTTCCAAATAATCTATCAGTGTTTTTAAATCTTCCTTTCCCATAGATCCCATTTTTTCAGTCATATCACGAGATTGTAAGAATAAAAAAATCTCATCTTACATTATATAAATGCTTTGTATTCCATCTTATATCAATATTTTGTAGTAACGTCTTGCTTAGATATTTTACGTTGCCACTTTGTTTGAAATAAGTCGTCAATGATTTTGCAGTTACCAAAATATTATTAATCTCGGGAGCATTTTCTAAAATAAAAGTTGACTGGAAGGTATTACGAAGTATTGTGTTCAGCATATGTGCTGAACAGTTTAGTCTATTAAAGCTAATATTTGAAAAAGTAAAAGGAAAATATAGTTCTTTAAATATGAATGTTTTTTCTTTAGGTGTATACAAAATCTCTCAGATTAATAATATCTACCTAATAATTAAATTTTATTTAATAAAAAATTTACCCTTCCAAAGCTTTTTTAATATTTGCTCCTTGATCCGTAACAAAGATGAGCTTGGAAAAATATTCTCGGGGAACACCAATTTTTAAAAAATTTTTTAATAATTCTTTAAGAATATTTTCTCCCGTCTTTTTTTCATCTTGAAATTTTGAAATAAAAAGAAATTTTTTTTCTAATTTCCAATTTTGTATATAATAGATTGATAGAGATATGTAATCGGTTTTGGTAAATTCTTCACACCACATATCAGTAGTACATAAGCAAATGGAATTTTTTATCATTTCTACAATTTTAGGAAATAATATTTCCTTAAGATCCTCAGTAACTTTGGATACGTTGCGGCTAACTGTTGTAGCACAAGGGATGATCTTATTAACATCCAATTTACCATATGTTGCCCCTAAGTCGGCAAATCTTTGTAAAATATTTATAAATCCAGGTCCTTGAACTGCTTGGAATGGCCTAAAAAAGATAAAAGAATAATTTATTAAATTAAAATACCTAATGTCTCTAGCGCAATATTCTACAAAATTCGCTATTAGACCAGATTTTATCGTTTTATTTAATTGAGAATTGTCTTTTTCAAAATATCCAGTTATTTTTTTTATTATCTATCAAATCTTCATAATTTGCAGATGAACATTGATGCCGAAGGAAGAAGGTGCCTGCTATTATATTTAAAGATGGACTCGCAATCATTGCAGCGAATCCAATCTAGCTTTTTGTCATTTTTATCAAAAATAATTTTAAATTGTTTCCATATAGACGATTTAAGTTTTTTATTATTATCTTCATTGTTTTTTAATTTATAAAAATTATTTTTTATTTTCTTAGCAATCAATTCTTTATTCATATTTTAAAATTAAATTAAAAAATATTATTTTGTTAAAATTATGTTATAAAAAATAAAATTTATATATTATATAAGAAAATGAAAATAAAAAGGGCAATATAAAGATAAACAATCATTACTAAAATAAAATAACACAATGGAGTAATTTCATTATTCCCAAAAAAAAAAATTTTAATTTTCAATATCTAAAAAATTATATATTTTAAGAAAAAAGTTTTATTTCATTACCATAAAAGGAGATTTTAATTTGTTTATAGAAAAAAGTTTGTTTTTATTTGTAGAAAAAGTTTTTTTAATTGAAGAAAAAAGTTGATTTATTTTATAAAAAGTTATACCAGAAAAAGGCTTTTTATTTTTTAAGTTCGTAAGAACAATTTTTTATTAATTAAAATAAAAATTTTTAATTTTTTTAACCCACCCGCCCGCCCATTGTTTGAATTTCTTAACCCGCCCGCCCACCCGCCTATTGTTAAAAATTTTTTTAACCCGCCCGCCTGCCCGTTCTTAAAAAAATTTACCCATTTAGATGGGCGGGCGGGCAGGAAACCCGACCAATGCAGACCACTAGTGTATACCGCCGATTTTTAGGCAGTAGATCCAATTGGTTATGTCAATATGAAGTTAATATCAACCAATCCGATATCACCATACATATTCTCCGTTTTAAATAATTTTGGCCAGGGCGGCTCATTCTTTTTTTAAAATTTGCCGTGTTTCCTGGCCGTACAATTATCTTATTTGTAATCTATCTTATATAGTAAAAGTAATTTAAATATTATAGCGGATCCTTTCAAAAAAATGGGCGATACATTTTTTCACCCTACTAAATTTTTTATAAAAACCTTGATTATTGAAATACAGGTACCAAATGGTGAAGGAAGTTACAACGTTCTTGAGTCAGAAATTACGGGCCTGGGATTCGTGCCTCTTAACCCTTACCAAAATTTTTCTTACACCGTAGCAGGTTATTTAATTATATATTTCATATCTGATCAGTAGTCATAATAAGTTCGCCCTATTTAAGCTTATCTTGAGTCACTTAATTTTTTTGAGAAAATTTTTATGGATTACTCCTATTCGTATTTTAACAAGCATAAATAAATGAAATGAGTCAATATACTATGATCAGATATACGCTCAAAACACTTTTGAAATATTTCCTAGACGTTATCAACTCCTTAGAGATGACTAAGGCTTTAACATTCTTTTCGTTTAAAAAAATTGTAATAGACAAAGATCACAAAATACTTTAGAAGATTTTTTACAAATTTTTTTTTAGTAATTTTAGATAAAATTTGAGCAAAAAATTATGTTTGATCATTCTCAAAATCTATTTGAAAAAAATAATATATATAACTTATTTTAACCTCGTAAATATTATTTTAAACTTATTTTGCGCATTCAAAAGTAATGTTTAAAATCAGACAGTATATTCTTTACAAATTCGAAAATAATACGCGTTTAGCAGAAGAATAACAGAACATACCCCTCCCCCCGTGGCGTAGGAATGCTTAAGTCATTTTTTCATAGATGCAGGACAGGCCTCTAATCATCAATAAGGGCCCCATAAAAAATATTTGTTTTACCTAGGGGGGGGGGGGGGGTGAGGGCATGAGACTCCTTTGGAAGGTAGAACATAACAAGTTTGACTTCAAGTTTAGAGGGATTTACAAGATTAATACTATATTCTTAATAATATTTTTAATTGCAAGCAGTAAAATATGAAGACTCAATATCTTTTTTTTTAAACCAAAAACACAAATTTATGTTTTAGGCGGCGAAATTTATTCCGCCACATTCGTGGATAAGTGGAGCGAACAGCCTATAATATATCGAGACCCGGTGCGTACGGTTCACGAATTCGCTCCGGCCCTCAACGGGCCTCAATTTATCCACAGTTTTACGCACGATGGGTACGCTTATTTTTTGTTCAACGAGTGGTCTATGCTTTCTCCAGACTATGGGAAAAAGGCACCCCTCCGGGTAGTGGAGGCTAGAATAGGAAGGGTAATATATTTATATTCGTCTAAATAATTTTTTGAGTGAAACCGTTCATCTTTTATGTATAGTATATATGCAATTTCATATAATAAATAAAAATCAATTTGACATATTTATACCCCTCATTCAGCGCGAATTATTTAAAATACTCTCCATTTTTGTATCTTCTGCTACGAATTCGCATAACTGTTAATGATGAGTTGCCCTGCATTCTCATTTAGCACAAATTCGTTGCGAAGTATACAAAATATGGTGTATTTTAATTCGCCACAAATTCGCGCTATGCGAATGTAGGGTTATTAGGCAAGAGAATGCCTTATTTTACTTAAGAATCATTTATTGAGCTCGTTTTTTTAAATAAATATTTGATTTTGCCGAAAATTGATTGCAGCACTTGTAGTTAGAATACCTATCTATCCTATCCATATTTTTAGAGAATTTAGCCACTAATCTTTGAATCATTTTTAATTTATCTTATAATATTTATTATCCTATAAAATTTATACCAGTTTTTATTGGGTATTAAAAACATCCACCATAAAATGACCCTTTTGTTTATTATTAAAAAAAATTAAATTTATATTTATCATTAATTTGGTTCGCACCGTCAGGTATGCATAGGAGACACTGGCTACTTGGATCTCATTTACGATAAACCTCTAATATGGAAAACATTTCTAAAAGTTAAGATGGTTTGTAAAGTGCCTAATGGGGATAACGAAGAAGATAGGATTAATGGTGCCTCTAAAAGTAAGGAATGAGATTATGAATCAGAATCTTAAATATAAATTTTTGTCTTATACACTACCCTTAGAGTGTCTACCTTCTTATCTATATTACTTTATATACCTATCCAAATAAACTAATCATATTTAATATCTCATAAATGTTATTGGAATTAAGGATTCCCATTAATTGGATTTATATTTTGGATGTATTATTATTATTTCATAATAAAAACCAGCCAGGGACTTGGATATTAATGAACAATATAAACGTTGAAGTTTATTAATATACTATACCTAAAAGACTGTATTATATAAGGAAAAAAACACTTCTATGCTTACTTGGTTTATATGAGCCAATTAATAAAAGATCGGATTTATGTTTTTTATTTGCTTGCCAGTATTTTAATCAGTATTTCTTTGAATTTATCTAAACAATTTTTGAAATTTCTAATAGATATTAGCATATCATTTATTCCTTCCAGTGAGTCTAGAACTGGTAATTTATATGAATCTTTATAATTTATTCTAATTTTCAATAAATTTATTTTCTAAAATAGGCGTGTTAATCTTGTGACGGGAGGCATTTTTCAAATTTAATCCAAAAAAAATTTGAATAAGTTAAATATACCTTTTTTTAAAAAAAATAAGGCACGCCCCATCACTATAGTGATTACGCGGACACTTTTCGCGCTCGTTATAATCCTAATCCTTCCCTCTCATTTGATCCCCGCGATCGTCGAGACATTACTGCCACTATTTTTGACTCCTTAGTCGCTTCTACAAGCCCTCAAAATATAAAGTTAGATACAGAATCAAACCCCGACCGATTTTATTCGGTCTTTACTGCCCCAAGTCCACTTGGTACTATACCAATTTCGGTTTTGTGTCGGTTTGATACCGATGAAATAGCTAAAATTTTTAAAACCGGTATTGATACTATGGACGAAAGGATGATCCGATCCGGTGTAAAAAGAGTCCCTCGTGGGTCAACCGGAAAGCCTGGAGAGTGCGGGTATTTAAATTAATAATATTTTTAGCATTAATAAATATGTTGTAACATGATTTTTTTTAAACTGATTAATGTCAAACAAATTTTATTTGATCCTCCGCAGATACGATTTAGTCGACCCTGGAGAAGCGGAATACTTACAAAAGTTTGCCCTTCTACACGGAAACGACGAGAACAAAGGGCTCGGAAACATTTTGGAAATAGAAGGAAAACCATTAAATGTATGGTCAGGGAGACGACCTTCTGCTATCACGGCGGTATATAACTATGAGAAAAGGGAAGGCGTAGAAACGGATCAAGTGTATCTAGGAACCAGCGAGGGTGAGGTTTACCGTATAAGCATCTCAACTCAACCTCGTTCGAACGCTCCTCACCAATATAAATCGGATTCTGTTGACACGATGATGAAAGGAAAAAGCTCGGCAAAGATAATTTCGATTATGGTAAATGAGAGACTGATAGTATCTAATAAAAGAGCAATCATTACGGGCCTTTACACTTTAGCTAAAGCTAAACGATTATTGGTAGCAATCGCCACTGGAAACGGTCGTTCTACTTCTATCCTTGCCAGTTTAGCGGGTAATCAATGTGGGAGACCTTATGGAAATTTTTCTTGTCACGGCTTGGAAGATTACAACAATAACGTATGGAGTAACGAAGAAATGGAGAGAGACGAGCAATTTAACGACAATGAAATGGAAGGAACAAACCAAGAGCCAAGTAAATACACCCCTTCCTCGTCCGCTCACTATATTAACACTTACCGAGACTCCAAAATAAAGCCACAAGGCGCTAGAGATTTGAATTACAACGATCCTTCTCATCCATCAAAATTTCCGCAAACTTCTCATAATTACAATAACGACGATAATCGAATAGATGATTCCCCTCGCTTTTACCAGTCTAGAGGCAACCCTGCTCACTGTCCTCAACAACCAATATCTAATTCTCAAGGAAATATGGCTGAACGTTTAAGCTTAGCTATAACATTTAGCGTGTGTATTGCCTCACTTTTGGGCTGTTGGATAGGGTTCAAGCTTAAAACTAGGTTAGATAGGTTGAGGAAAGACAGACATCTAGATTTAGGTAGTGGTGGTTGTCGCGACTTAATGGCCATCAATATGAGCTCGATTCGCAATATGAACAAAGATTCTGGCAAGGATTGTGTTAACGATAAGCTCGAAAGTGGAGGGGTAGATAAAGGACAAAGATTTCTTTCCTCATTTTCGCCTTTCGTGGACTACCGAGTAGGCGCTAACAAACAACCCCTAGATGACACTAACCTAAACCACAGCAATAATAATGGGAACAATTTTTTTTCCTTTTTTTTGCCAACCACTCCCATCAACAACGCGTTGAACTCTCATCCTCTTGAACAATCCGATCTTGATCAGGCTTCTCCCTTAAACGCTGTAGTAGTTCCGCCATATTTCGCTAACTTTCCCAATAACTTAAATAACTTAAATCCATTTGCCAACTTAACCCTACTTAAACATTCAAACGGTCAGCAATACCTATGCAATGCCTATGGGCCTCCTATCAATCTCCAACATCAGCCACCATTATCAGAACAACCCTCTCCGTCCATTTATGAGCCTCCTCCTCAACCACCCCTACCCAGACTACCTCCACCTGTTTATAATGTTAATAATTGCCCCGTAACTGGGACGGATAATACGATTAGAAGGGTGTACTACTTTCAACAACCAAACCATTACGATATAAATGATAACGCTAATAATTCTCAATTACCCGCTATAATCAACCAAAATAATATCCCGCATTTCAACGAATTTAAGGAATTCCACCCTAAGGAGAATATTAACACATCGATTAGCGATGGAACCGGAAGTTATGATGAAAATTGTTTAAACCGTAACAATAAAGGGGATTATATTGGTCGTAAACCTCTTCCGCCGCCTAGACCTAACTAAAATATATAAATATATATACATCTTTTTTATACTTTATAACTAAACGAATAAAAAATAAATTTTTAAAAAATATCGTAATGTTTGATGAAAACATCGCCAATTATTTTTTTTGACAGTGTTTTTGCTCAAAATGGAACAAAATATTATAAAATTATCCTATTATTTCGCGAATGTTTTGTTTTAAACATAACCGACTATGTATATAATTATGTCAATTATCAGAGATTTTACCGAATATGAATTATTTTCTTTTAGAAAAATTACGATATTAAAAAAATAATACCCCCATATAATATTAAATATAATATGTTATATAGATTACTAATTAATATATAAATCGTTATTTATAAATTATAGATCGAGATGCCAGATTATAATAAATTAAATTTACCCCTTTTAAACTTCAAATATTTGTTGAATTAAAGCGCCAAATCTAAAAGCATTTACAAATTTTATACTGCAGATGCGGAATATTTAATAAATTTTTATAAGATTATATCGTTTATAAATGTAAATATAATTGTATATATATAAACCTTTGTAAATATTATACCAAACTAGGTTAAAGAAATAAAATTGTAAAATTTGTTGAAATAATTTCCTATTTTAGTGAATGGATCTTTCCATTGATCTCGAAATATCATGTACAACACAAATTTCTCACATAATTTTAAGTGTTGCTAATTCCATTTCAAGCGTTTTAATTATAGTGTATCTTATTAATTTATATAACATAATACTAAATTTATATAAAAGATACTTTTCGGATGTATAAATCTGATATTCTAAAACGTCAAATGCGGTTTACTATTTTTAAAATTAATTACCATTTGATTAAAAAAGCTTAGTTTTTATATAATCCCTATCCATGTCTTGAATATTTAAAAAAATTTTGACAAAAACAACAAGAAAATATAGCCTATCAAATAAATACACATTCCGAAGTTTATAAAAATAATTGGTAAAGTTATTCGAGCGAACTTAAAGACATTGTATTCTCTGAATAATATACAGTATATTGTAAATTCTCCAGAATTATTAGAGGAAAAAAAAAATTGAACCCAGTTACAATAAAATAACACTTTTTTATAAAAAAAATGTTAAAACCCCAAATCAATTTAGAATCTAACTAATAGTGCCCCCATACCTAATAGGAATATCCTTGATATGCCTATGTATTTTTTTGTGAAGGCAGGAACCTATTTTCAATGTCGAGATTATTTTGAAAATTTTAATTCGTTGCTCCAACAAAATCTCATAAAGTCCTCAAAATTTTGAAAAAAGAACCCAACTAATAGTATCCCCTAGAGGTCTGCATGGCACAAGCCGGTCCCAAATATTTAAAAAATTTTAACCCGCCCATAGTTTTGAAAAAAATATACGCGCCCGCCCTTTAGAAAATTCTTTACCCGACCGGCCATTAGTCTAAAAAATTTTTACCAATTGCCGCCCATATAAAATATAAATATGCTCATTCTTTCAATTTTATTAAGCATCTAATAAAAAAAAAAGTGATTTAGTGTCAGCCCTAATATCCCTACAAAAAAGTTTCATAGTTTAGGAAATTACTAATGAAAAAAAACGGATAAGGTAAGGAATTTATTTAATCTAATAAAATATATATGTAATAATATAAAATTAATATTTATTGATACTAAAAATCTTCCAGCAATGCTAATTCCTCGTACAGAAGAAACACTGGTTGCTGGAATTGTCAATATTTTTCTAGCTAATCTTGATTTTGATAAATCATTTTCTTGCCATCTCTGTCAAAGTAGCATATCCGTTTGAAGAATATTCTCTACTCAAGTGAGATATTTAAATAAAAAGTGAAACCATTATTAATTAAAGTAGTTTATAAATTGTAAACTAAACTAAGCAGCTTAAAATCTTGCTAAATTATACAAACGCCTGTTACTTTAAGATATAAATATTTTGTTGTCATTAAGTAAAGCTCTTCTCTGTAACAGCCATATCTTCCCATTTGTTGTTTTAATTTCGACATGGATGCTATCTATTTCAAACATCGCATTTATAATTTAATAATCTTTAATTGAATTCTCTTTACCATTGGGGAAACGGGTAAAATCAGATTTTCATCCACGTTTGCTGTTATATTCCATGAAAATTAAATCCAACATGTTTTCGATATATTTTTTTAAACTTAATTAATTTCTTCAGCTGACAACATCCTCAGTTATCGGTACTTTGGTATTAAAAATATTGGAATATGCACTCGCCCACCAGGTGGGCTAAAATCCCGCCCGAACCTCTAGTGTCCCCTATCCAATGGGAATATCCTTGATATGCCTATCAGATAATTCCACTTAAAATAGATCAGGTTTCATGGATTTCTTTCAAATCGAATGAAACTCTACATGATTATATATGATATGAAGAAGACCTATGCAATTTAATTTTTTTAAAGTTCTAAAACTTAATTAGTTCTGGATATGGCGTTAAAGTTAATAAAATGGAGTCCTTCCTAATTTAGAAAAACCCGATAAAAATAAAGATCACTCAAAAAATATATATGATGGAGACTTATATTTTGTGTCATAGATAGCCCTTGAGTCCCTTTCTTAAACGTAATTAAAAAAAATTTTTGAAATCTAAGGTGTTTTTTCATTTCCGGAAAATATAAAGTTTAATTTTTTTTTAATAACTGCTTAAGCTTAAAACTTGTATGTATGTTTATTAAATCAATATAAATTTATATTTAAAAAAATTATATTGGGAAAACAGTTATTTATCTAGTTATTTAATATTTTATCGATAAAAAATGTTTATTATATAGATGGCAATGTTTTAATAAAAATCTAAATTTTAAATAAAATTAATATAAAACAATATTTTAATATTAAAATATAGTTCTCCCCTGAAGGAGGGGGGGGGGGTTACACCTGTCAGAGAAACAAACTTCTTATTTCTTCCAAGTTTACAAAATAGTTACTGGCGTAATCTACTAATTTATATTTTATGCTCAAAAAACCATTTTAACTAAAAATATTGATCAAATCTTGTATTTCCATCAAATCTATAATTAAAAAAATTCGACTTATATATTTTTTTAAATGTAATCAAGTGTGTTTTCATATTATTGGTATTTATATATCAATCCCTCATTTTAGATGACATTAGATATAATAAACAATGTTAAAGGATTTACTAAATTTAATGTTAATCAAAAAAATTAGGCTTAAAGAGTGTGCTCTAAATATGTATATAAAAATATGAGATTTACCCCTCACAGCTGACCATATTTTGTTGTTTGACAGGTGCTAAATTTTTATACATCCACTAATAAAATTTTACTTAAAGGATTTTTTTAAACATTAATTACAAAAGTATAAAATAAAAACCCATAAGTATAAATGTTTGTTTTGAAATTTCGCGGTTTTAAAAATAATGATCTAGTACTATCTTCACTTTTTTTACCTTTTTTATGGTATTCAAAATATTTAATAAAACTTTGGGTAATTAGTAATGATACTGTCATATTGTTTTATTGATAAATATAACCAAATATATTATGATTGTAAATTTAATAATAGTATTTATTTAAAATAAGAAACATCAGAATGTTGCATATACGCTACCTTATCTTTAATTATTACTTTAGTACCATATCTTCGATAAGAAATAATAAATATATTTTTAGAACAGGTATTATTACTATTTAAATATAATTTTGAAGATTATAAACAATGACTTTAATATTAAAAAAGACTTTTAAAATAACTTTATACTGAATAATTGATATAAATTCCATGGCAATATAATATTAACAGAAAATTTAGATGTTCAGAGACATATTAAATTAAAACTTTACATTAAAAACATTATATTATTGAGGTATTTATTTGAATATAAAATAATTTTTTAATATATAATCTGTACTTAATATTTTTTGGTCTGGAAGTGGAACTCTCCCCCCCCCCCGTGCCTACGACACTTGCCACTTGCTAATTATCTGAGTAATGAGAAATTATTAAATGGAATAAAAAAAATTTATATGTTTAATTGTAACTCAGTCACCCGAGTATATATTTGTCATGTCCACTATCTTATTCTCGATATTCCAGGATTATATTAGATTTAAAAAAATGATTCCACGTTAAACAATTCATTAATGGATTCAAATATAACGACCAAACACTGAGGTATTATAATATCAGATATCAATGTATGCAATGTAAACGTGTGTATAGGTCATAATAGGGTATAGAAACATGGGAGTTTGGAACTAGTGCTGTTGAATTACCTAACTTTGATCCTCTCTATTGTAGTTTAGTCAAGCTTTTAGCCTAAAAAATTGAATTAAGCCTCTAAGTTAAGTCTCAACTTGAAGACTTATTCGTTTTTGGATAAATACATAGCTACGCTGTTTTATAGTTGAATAAAGTTAGGTAATTTAACAACACTATTCGGAACTTCTTAATTTTAAATTTGTAAAAATCTCAGTTGACCAATAATGTGTGGTTTAACATGTGTAGAGCACATACACTGTTTAATTCAGACAATTTTGCTTTAAACATTTGAAATACTTAGTAAATTAAATATTTTGAATCCTAATGGGTTCCATAACTCGCAACGACATATATAATATAGTGAAATGAGTATTAACAGTTAAAAATGTTGACCCAGACATTTTATTTCATGGAAATGTAATTTATACCCAACTCAAAAGATCATCTGAACCAAATTTGTCAAAATTATGAGCAAAATTATATTTATAGAATAACTAACCTCATCAACAAATGGAAAAAAAAATTGGCCACTATAATATACAATGTAATTATTGTTATGGAGATTGAATAAAATTAACACCCGAAAATATAACAACGGAAAGAAAGTCCCAGATAAAAGAATCCCAGGCACGTCAGTAAAATCAAATAGATACATTAGAATGTGACAGCCACAAAAATACACTTGATTTTGCAGCTTCTTGGTCCAAACTAAAGCCGGATTAGAATTAAATATTGTTGCACGAGTATTTAGAAAAATAAAAAAAATGAGTGGTGTATTTCTTTGATAGGGTTTTTTTTCTTCTAATGATGTTTTTTTCCGGGAGACTTTCACCCGGGTAAGAGTTATAGTTACAATTAATATTTAATACTCAAAGTTAGATTCAATATTGATTAAATAATAAAAACTTTATAGAAGTAAAAAATATAAGTATAATATAAATCCAAATAATTTTCACAGAAAATAAATTTGACTTTATAATAACCCAGTCGAAATATTTTTTTTCTCTTTATAAAATAAAAAATAAAGGCCGTTCGTTTACTCTCCCATAAATATTCATTGAATAACTATTTGGATTTTTTTTTGACGAATTCGTGTACCGTTGTATCATTTTATTTTTTCTTAAAATATAATTTCTTTCAGGACAGTATTTCTTATTTGATAACATGATATTATATTTTTCTAAATATAATTATTACTTGATATCTTCAAAAATGATCACAAATATATTTTTTTATCATCATAAAATATTTATAACTATAGAGAATTGCAAAACTAGAAGATGTCGCAAAATGACAATATTTTTTTTTGTTCTACATTTTAAAATAATAATCTTTGATAAAACAATTTTTTTTTTCTTCTTTGAATTTATGAATCTGTTTTGCTGTAAATTTATAAATCCATAGAATAATTACACATATAAATTCATTTATTAAAACAAAAGATTAAAAATAAAGATATTTGAAATAAATTTAAAGTCTTTAAATACTATTTAATAATTTATAACTTTTTAATCACAGTCTTTTCAAATTCATACCTTGATTTTAAGAAAAATAATGTCCAGGGACATTACTAGACTTCTGCGAGGCTCCTTGTAAGCTATAAATAACTTAAAATTTTTAGGGGGGGGGGCTTCAAAATTTGACGAGTGTTTTTTTTCAAATACTAAATACTATTTTATATTTTCCTTATGGATATATGTTACATGAGCGTATTCTCTCAAAGGGTCGTCACAGTTTAAGAAAACTTTAAATATGGCATAAATTTCTAAAAAAACATTTCTTTCAATTCTAAATGTTTGATAACATGGTTCATTGAAATTACCTTAGTTTAATGTGGAGAGCCTCTAATCTCTAGTTTAATGTCGAGTTAATCCTCCTCCATCTCTTTCTGATTTTTCACACCTAAAGCATCATAAAAAAAAATTTTCATCTTCTTTATTCCTTTCAAAAATCGTTTCATATTTTTTTAAAACAACTGTTATTATAGATAGTTTTGGCCATTATCTAACTGTATAATTATTAAACCTTCCTTTCTCAACATCATCAAAACTTTTTTTAAAAAAAAGTCTACATCTCAATTATTTCTTCCTTATAAAAATATTTCGGGAAGGCCAAGAATAAATTAATAACGAGTCTCTTAAATATTAATTTAAAGTCATATTATAAAAGACAAAACTTTGATTAATTTAGTAAAAATATTTTTGATAGCCTTTTGCGGGGATTATCCCAATTTAATATTCCATTTTTTTTGGTTGAAAAAATAAACCATATCAAGCAAAAGCAATTGCATTTTGAAAAATAAAAAATTTCCTTTTTTTTTGGTTGAATTCATAGAGATTTATTAAACAATAAAAATATATTTTATTTTGGCAAATTTTTTTCTTCTCTAGATTTTTATTTTTACGAGAGAGGAGGGAATAAAATATTATTCCCCAACTTATATTTGCATTTATGATAGATTTTAAAAGTTAGATTTTTTTTTAGCATGACCTAAAACCTTTTAAATTTATCTAAATTATGAAATCATGATCTGCGATAACAAAAAACATTTCTGACCTATTAATCAGGGCTGTAAACCAGAATAGGGTTCAGGAATTTTAAACTCTTTATAGCGGAAATTTTGATAAGTGGAACTAAATCAAAACTGATTTTCTGAAAGGCTTGAATATTTCAGGTTCGATTGGTTGCCCATAAATCGGTCCATGCCCTGTTCTATGGTCTCAAAAGGTTCAACTAAACAATAACGTCGGCACCGGTTTAAAACCCTGCCCACTATACATCTATGTTATTTTTTTTTTATATCTTGGGAATTAAATTCAAAAAAATTAACTATATAAAAATTAATTTTACAAAATTTATTTCTTAGAGTTATTAAAGAAAAATGCCATCTAAAAATATATTGATAAACTTACACGCCTATATAGGTTTTTGAAGAAGTAACAGGTTTCTTTTAATTTTGTAACGAGAGCTAGTAAGCGCTACTTTACAAGGAATTAATTTATATAATTTATGATTAAGCTTAAATATGAAACTAATAAGTAACCCTTTCATTTTTCAAATAGAGTCCATTTACAATCTATTTTGCACGTTATGATAAAAAGAAAGAAAGAAGGCGAAACTATATAGGATATAATTTCGGAATATTAATTTATATTGGTTTAATAATATTTTTGGCCTTTTTTCGCGTTTATTGGGGAAAAAAAAATTATTAAAAAAAATACTAAAAAAGATATCAAAGTTCTGTGAGTTTATCGATAAATGTCCTTAATCTTGATTATTAAAATGGATTAAGTTTTATTTTAATTATTAACATATTTCTTATATCTTCGGAAATTGTTTGGATTCAAATATTTCGGGAAAGAACTAAAATTCCATCATCAAATTTAACTATAGAAATGAAGAGAGCATTTGAATGTCTAATTTAATTAATTAATAATTAAACTTGTAACATTATTTTACTCGGAAACTCCTTAATCGGATATTTCATTGTTCAAAGGAGATAATTTTATTATTTTTCAATGGAAAATTATGCTTATAAATCTCATTTAATCAGAATTAAAGATCTCCCAAGCCCATTTAGAGTCTGGTCCGTTAAGAATTTTTGCGCAAATTGCCATTTTCCTGGCCTGCTAATAATTACGAAAAGTCTGCCCTTGCCTATTAAATTTTTTTTATACGAATTTTCGGGGAATTACCTTTTTAATTTCCTTCTATTTAATTTTTCCCCAATGTCAGTAGCTCCCTCTTCTATGTCAATCTATTTTTACAGCGACCGTTTTATAAATCAATTGTATTTGATATGTTAAAATCTTTGTTTAACGTCTTTTCTTATTGAAAATATGATGGACAAATTTTTAAAAAGGTTCTCCTATAATGTTGGAAAAAAAAATGGATGACCGACTGATGTCTAAATATTTAATTTATAAAGTATCATATTTTGAAGATGGTTTCTGAAACATTGATGTCTGCTACACTCACAATATAATAATATAATCTTATCAAGTATATTACATTTTTATTTTATTATGGAATAAATTTAATTTTTACCTTTTATATTTTGTATATTACATAAGTTTTACAATATTTAGTCTTTTCAAATGTAATTATGACGATACAATCCATATAATGAGTATAACTGTAAGACCCTAAACATGAGAAATTAGTGTTTGTATTGTTGGTCCTGATTATAAAATAGAAAATTAAATATGGACAATTTTATTTTCCAAACCTTTCGAAGAAATACAGATGTTTAGTTAAATAGAAATATTTATTGGAAATAAAAATATGTACAATAAAGAAATAATGAATGGTATATTTTATGTCTTGTTTTCAATTTATTTTTTAAATTTGCATAACATTTCTTTGAAATCTACATTTAAATTTAATATTTTTTTTGAACTTTTATCACTTTGTGGATTTATAAAGAATTTATTAAAATTAAAAAATAGGTTTTAAACTGGACTAAAAAAAAATATGATAGATTAATTATTTTTTATGATATCATAAAGGCAGAGAGTAAAAAAAAAATACTTAAGGGAATTTAAAAAAAACAAATTTAAGTTAATTTTTGATTATATAATTATGATTTTTTAATCTTCATTCTCGTTATAACTGCGACTTATAGATTTCTGATTCTTCAAGCGTGTACGTAGTGCAAATGAATCGGTTCTTTTGCGTCCCATTATTTTCCAATATAAACGTAAAAATTCACTCTTAAATTTTTTCTGCAAATGAAAAAATTATCTTTTTATAAAACGAGTAAAAGTAAGAATTAATAAACCCAAAAGCGTAAAAAAGACCTATTAAATTTTTATGAAAAGCTATAAATGATAATTTATTCTCGCAAATTAGCGTTGTTAAATTATGTCGATTTTGGGTCGAATCTAAAATAATATAATGTAAGCATCGAGATTTGGCAAATAGATTTTCCAAGCATCGGCCAGCTATGCACAAAATCTTTAGGGTTACATAATGTTATTTTGAATAAAATCGACCTGAATCGGGCTTTTTAACAACATTACTCGCAATCAAAGATTTAGTAAGTTATTCCCATGTTTAATAATAAAAAGATCAATATCTTAGTTATTATCTTTATTTTTTTTTGGTTAAATGTAACTTTGCGGAAAAAAGAAGCAAAAAAAATGAAAATTATATTTTTTTAATGAAATTTGCATTTTATCGCATAAAAACAGTGTTTTATAGGATAAACTATAAATTATAACTTTAAGTTATTTACATTATAGAGTCCATAAACGAATGGATTCACGCAGGAATTACTCATGGCTATCCAATGACAGCAAAACCATATAATGTTGATAAATTGATATCTATAAAATAAAATAATTTTTTTTTTTATTATACTAAATAATATATATGAAAAGAAAAGTTAATTTTTTTTTTTAGAAAATGATAATTGTATTTAGAAATATTTCATTTGAATTTTGTTCATCTCACATTTTTAAAGAACAATTTACATAATGGTTTACGAAAATTTAGAATATGATATAAAACAGCTTTATATTACTTAATATGACTAAACCTGTGGACAAATCTTACAAAATTGGTTTAAGCCGCGTTATATATTCTTAAAAAAATTAATATACACTAGTTAAACATTTCATAGCCTTAGTGTTGTTAAACGGCTCTTTTTGAGCCGATTTTTAAAAAAGGCTAACTCAATATTTTAATCAGAAAAAAATTGCCTAAACCTCGAGATTTCGAAAATATATGTCTAGACCTTTGTTCCTTCTATGAGCAAAATCTTCAGGCTTGCCTAATATTTTTCTGGATGAAATATTGTGGCCGTTTTTAAAGGCTCAAAACAAGCCTTTTAACAAAACTACTTATTTATCATTGTTAATAGTAGAGTTATAGGTTTCTTTCCCATGCCTTACCCCTTAATAAATTTTATTGAAATCTATCCTTAATTATGTGTTTTTATATCTTTATCGCTGCTTTTAAAATGCTTTTAATATTAAAAGATAGAAGATAAAATTATCAGTTTTAACCTTTAACATTTTCAGGGTTTTAAAGGCAGCATTAAAGAAGTGGATCATGACGAGGCTTATGACAATTATTTTATCGAACAGTGGGTAACTAATTATTTGAAATCAATAAATAACATAAAGAGGATTCTGCTAAAAATCAAACTCAAAATAAATAATATAATATTTGTATATGTTTATTGAAAGTAATCTACACAAAGACAGTGAAAAGTTCTAAATGGTGAACTTGAAGTTTCTATATTTGCTTCAATGTCAAACTCAAAAAAGGGCTTAATTCATTAATCACTTAATTAGAAGATTAATATACATTCTCAATATTTTTAATAGCTTTTTGAATTTTACTTAGAAATATAAATATTGCCAACATAGCTCATGAACATTCTACACTATATGACATTATGAAACCTTAATAGTCAATATGAAAGCTTAATAGATATTTTAAACACTTTCTGTGAACATTATCCACTCTTAATATTTATATATTGATACGTTGTGATGGAATAAATCCTGAATTGAAGGCCATAACGACCTCATAAACGAGATTATTAACAACTTTTTATATATATTTTTAAAAAAAATAATGTCTAAGGAATGATCCATAAACCTTGTAAATTTTTAAAAGTAGGTAAATGAAAGTTAAATAAGTATTTTTTTAAAGATTGAAAGGAATAGCAGCGCAGCTTAATTGGTCTTTGACTTGGAGAAAATTGCCAATAATCGCGACGCTGAAAAAAAACTTAAATATTAAATAGAAAAAGCCCACAAATCTAGACATAACCCGCCCCTCTCCATAGATTGAAATTATCAGGAAGAAAATATTCTTTTATTTTAAATTTGATTGAACAAAAATATTTTATTATGAAATTATAGGATATAACGCGTTTGAAGGATTATTTACAAGCTATCTTGACCAATTCATCTTATAAATTATTTATTTAATGTACTATATAATTTACTCGTTAATGGCTGTTATGATTTCGCTTAACACATTATAACTTTGCAATGGTAGCCAACAGAAAGCAAACATGGATACAACTATGAGAAGCATCTTGATTATCTATATTTAGTTTGTTATTTTAAAGAATTAGGTTTAAATATGGTTAAATAAATTTTAAAATAATTATTTTATATAAGCAAATCAAACAGGTATAACTTTATCCAACTTAATGTTTATATTGAGTTAGTAGGTATGGAGTGACAATTAAATATTTTTAAAAGATCGGTTTGTATGTTATATTTTAATGTTTACTTTACTTTAGTGAATAAAATTATAATTTAGACAAAATATATTTTTTTGTAAAGTGCGATGTAGTCTATTTTTTAATGTAGTGAACCTTGAGCAAAGCAATTTCCTGTTAATTGCGATCTGAGACTATATATCCTATTGACCTCCAATCTCTTAAAAATGAATTCAATTATGTCATTTGAACAATAACTTTAAAAAAAATGATTATAAGTTTAATAAATTATTAAAATAATAATAATAATTTGTAATTTTTCAAAAAAAAAATAATATAGCGTGTATGGAATGATTTAAAAAATGGTGTAACCCAGTCAATATGACATATATAAGGGAACCTAACCATCAATAAAATTGTCCCCTGCCCTTTTAGATGCCAATTATCGATTGTCATATTGGGATAATTGCTAATACAAATGCTAAATTAGAAATTCTGTATACCCATTTATAGTGATTCTTTTAAGTACAAGTGCTTACCTAGTTCCCTAACATCTATTAATATTATTTCCAATATTACTTTAAAATATTTCTGGGAAATATGAGCAATATTCCTATAAAATTCCTCTTTTCAGCTAGTTTTGATTTTAGCGATTTAGATCGTGAATCATATTATACCAAATTAGAATAAACTATTAATTTTTGTTCACTATTTTTTAATAGTTTTATTATATAAAGTTAATTTTTACAGTTTTATTTATTATTACTATTTAGTAGGCAAATTATTATTATTTTCTTTTAACTATTAGTAACAGTTAATAAAAAAAAGGCAAAAACCATTGAATTTTAATTATGCTATAAATATGTATACGCATTTGTCAATTAATCTTAATTTTTTTTAACGACTTTCGACACGAAAATGTTAATTTAAATAAAATGTTTATGCTGGTGGTGGGTGTTATAAAAATTCGAAGAAATATTTATAAATCGAAATTTAAACATTTAATTTTATATACTAATAATAATATTTAATAAAAAAAAATATAGCCATAACTTTATAATTTGTATATTAAATTGAAATTATTTTTATATATGGCCATATTGGGATATAGAATCCATGGCTCAATCTCTTATAATCATTAAGTTAAGGCCATTTTTAAATTTGGAAAATAGGATGGCCGGAAATGTTTTCCAATACGTATGGGATACACATGAATATAGAACAATTTTATCCTTAAACATTTGAATCCATACTTAACTTATATTTTTCTTATAAATAGACTAATTCACAAAATTTAACGGCAAAAAATGCCTGAAATATATTATTTACTTTACATGTATATGCTGGAATACATTTTCGGTCAAATTAAATTTTCCAAATTTAAAAATAATCTTCAATAATTGATATAAAATTAAAACTGAGATATTTTGAATCCCAATGGATCATTTCTACGACATATATAATCTATCTTGAATATATTTTCCTTTTTTTCTTCCTCCATGACTGTTTGTTACTCTATTGGTCTCACTCACTACATCCACTCAATTATGATCTACATTAGAGGGAAGTCATCGAACAATCTTTATATTAAAGGGGGATAGGCTTCTAAGAGCTAAGGAGTATAAAATATTTTAAGACTAAAATGATGGTAGAATAAATCTTGCAGTGTTCTGTTCCAATTATATTTAATATTTAGGTCATCAAGAACATGCGCGTCATTGGCTTAGAATGGGTCTCGAAGACATTAGACGCATCAGATAAAAAGAAATTGGTTATGGAATGGGCATGTAACCAGAGTACCATCTGTAGCTCTTACATTGATATTTTAAAAAGTTATAAGAAATTGATAACCAAAAATGAGTAATTTATGACAAATTAAAAGTAGTCTTAAATTTTTCTGAGTTAACCACAATGCAAAATTATTTTTCAAACTTATAAAATTTAAACCAATCTTTTTTATGTTTGTGCGGTACGCCTAACTGGAATGATGGTGCTCTAGAAAAATAAATTTGAGATTATTTCTAACGGTTATGATGATATATGTTTAAGTATTTTGGCCAATTTTATGCTAAGTTTATAATTTCTGCAAGGTTTTACGTATTTTCATAATTAGGTTTAAACTCTTTTTTTATCACCGGGGTGGCCTAATGGGTTAGATGTATTCTCGGAAACAGAATGACGAAGAGGAAGCAGGTTCAATCCTGGTAAGGAGCATTTCCAAGTTTTTCTTCGATGACTGATGTGTAAAGACATATGGTAAGATAAATTTCGGAGCTTAGAGATGACAACCCGGTCACCGACTGGACAGCCGGGTGCTAAGGATCCCTGTCCAATAAACAAAATGAAGGAAACAAATGAAAATATTAATATGAAAGCTAGGGCGTTCCCTCTAAGCGACGCGCAGGGTGCAGACCTCCATCCTGCGAAAAGTAAAATAAAGGTCAAAGCAAAGAAGACAAGGTTAGCAAGTTTGAAGATTGGGACGCTTACAAGTAAAACGAGAGAATTGGCATCAATGTTGAACAAGAGAAAAGTTGATATAGCGTGCATACAAAAGACAAAATGGAAAGCCAGAAGTAATGATTGGAGATTGTTATATTTGAATATCGTATATATTCCAAAGGTTACGTTATATATTTTAAAAGAACGTTATATATTTTAAAAGGTCGTTATTTGTGTATTATATTATTATAACTTTCCGACATGTAATATATCGAGGTTAATCAATTGCATATAATTAGAAGTTAAATTGGATAATTATATAAATGTATATATACAAAAGATTTACAAATAAAATTCATTATTGTTTTTAAAATATAATCGATTTAATATTTGGCGACGAGGTAAAAAAGTCGCGCGGTTTTCGGTCTTCGGTCAAGTTAAATGTTATATAGAATTATAAAAAAAAATTCTGTTTATAAAAGAAAAAAGATTTGTTTAGAAATTATGGATAAAAGATGAGAAATAAATGGGCTATACGACTATAGACACATAAAATATCCTCAAAATTTTATATTGACGAGTATGAAAAAAAAAATTCCTCAAACTGACGTCACTTTGAAAAAATTATTTATAGCTTATGGAGGAATAAATATTAAAGGAAAAAAAAAGAATTAAGAAAATATGGGCAGATATATCAAAATTGCAAAACAACTTATAAAGATAAAACAACTGTTCTGGCATCAAGAATTGAATTCATTAGAGGGATATAAACGGAGCTCCGAAAGTAATCAAAAATAAAGATGTAAAATTGATAATAATGATAAAAGAAATAATGAATAGATGGAAGGAATATTTTCAGGAGCTTCTCAACTTTAATCCCCACTTACTACATTTAGATGAACACTCCCCATGTCAAAACCTTGTACAACCAATAACAAAATAAGCAAGCATATGAAAAACAACAAAGCTAGGGGACCAGATGATATTCCAATACCTTAAAGCACTAGGTGATGATGGAATACATTTCCTCACAAATCTATACAATAAAATACTTGGAAGGGAAAATTTACAGTTCAATAGTACAACCAACTATTCTATATAGTTCGGAAACATGGCCAACCAAAGAATCAAACTAGAGAAGTCTACAAACTGTGGAGATGAGAATGCTGAGGATGATTGCTGGTGTAACAAGAAAGGATAAAGTGCACAGTACAAGAATACTAAGTAGTTTAAAGGTAGTGCTCATTAAGACTAAGTTAAGAGTAAACTGACTTAGGTGGTATGGGCACACAATGAGAAGGCCTATAAACTACATAGGAAATAAGGTTGAGAGTTTGGAAGTGATGGGCAAACGTAAAAAAGGAAGGAGAAAACTTCAATGGGGCCATAAAGTGAGCTATAAAGAAGTATAAATTAGATAAAAGAGATTGTATGAATAACATCAAGTGGAGAGAGATGAAGGAGCTTACCACCAGAAAAGGTGAATGCTAAAAAGAAAAAAAAAGAAGCTATAACCTTTTTTTAGGGGTAACTCTCCCGCTTGTCGACCCGACCAAAAATTAATAAATGAACACTCCCTATAAGTCGACATTTCTATCATATAATCTCTACAGCTCAAGATTATGATGGATTTCCTCGTTTAAAATAGAATAATATAAAAAATTTACACATTATATATTAATATTGTTTAAAAAATTATCCCTTCATTGGTATAAAAAAATTCTTTAGCATAATGACAAAAACTGGTTAATGTTTTTATTTCCATAGTAAAACAAATATATATGCGACATATAAAAAAAGTATAGCAATTTTGCTTTATTTTTGTCTTTGCAAAAACCTCTTATTAAATTTTAATTTACAGTTAAATTTTCTAAATTTTTATACTTGGTAAAACCCGAATAAACAAACCATTAAATCTTTTTTTAAAGCGATTAACAAAATTAAATAACAAATAAAAAACAAAAGGAAAATGAAAATGAAAATATAATTAAATTAAATTACAATAAGTACTGGATTTTTATACCATTAGTTATATTTATTTCATTATATTTTTTTTAATGAAAAATTAATTATAATAATAAGATATAATATTTGATTTTGTTGAATAGTTTTAGATTTTTTTTTTCATTTTTAACCGGGGGGGGGGGTTTAAATCCATTCTAAAAGAAAGCGTCGGGTTTAGTGAAAATTTGAACTAGTTGGGGTCTGTCTTCTTTTTCACTACCATGAGTGTTAATCATCCTATAAATCAAAAAATACTACATAAAATTGCTAATGATATTCTATTTGCATTTATATATTAAATATCTTTATATTCGTTTTGGTCTTGTTATTTTATATCTATTTATCTTAATACGAGTTGTAAATTTTCTAGGTAATTTTGGTTGTCAATATATTTAAAATATGACGGAAAAAATAAGGAAATTAATATAAGATA